GGGACGCCGAGGCAGATGGATCACCTGACGTCAGTAGTTCAAGACCAGTCTGGCCAACATGGTGAAACCCTGTCTCTACTAAAAATACAAAACATTAGCCAGGCATGGTGACAGGTGCCTGTAATCCCAGTTACTCGGGAAACTAAGGCATGAGAATCACTTGTGCCGAGACCAGCTCAGTCAGGGAGACCCTAACCCAGTGGCACTAGAGGAATTAAAGACACACACAGAAATATAGAGGTGTGAAGTGGGAAATCAGGAGTCTCACAGCCTTCAGAACTGAGAGCCCCAACAGAGATTTACCCACGTATTTATTAACAGCAAGCCAGTCATTAGCATTATTTCTATAGGTATACAATTAACTAAAAGTATCCCTTATGGGAAACGAAGGGATGGGCTGAATTAAAGGAATAGGTTGGGCTAGTTAACTGCAGCGGGAGCCTGTCCCTAAGGCACAGATCGCTGGTGCTATTGTTTGTGGCTTAAGAATGCCTTTAATGTGGGGTGTGGGGGAGGGGCAGATCAAGGCTTAAGAATGCCTGAGCGGTCCAGGTGTTCCTTGCCCTCATTCCCGTAAACCCACAGCCTTCCAGCCTGGGCGTCATGGCCATCACGAACACGTGACAGTGCTGCAGAGATTTTGTTTATGGCCAGTTTTGGGGCCAGTTTATGACCAGATTTTGGGGCGCCTGCTCCCAACAACTTGAACCCGGGAGGTGGAGGTTGCCGTGAGCCAAGGTCTTGCCACTGTGCTCCAGTCTGGGGGATAGAGTGAGGCTCTGTCTCAAAAAAAAAAAAGACAGTATGAATATTATACAATGCTTGTTTACCTTTGTCTTTATCCCTGTGCGTTGTCGAGGTTGGTCAGTCTAGTATGGGTCTAGTATGGTAGTCTGGGCTCTGCTGAACTGGCTCTGTGCGTCAGGATGGGCACGGGTGGGCTGGAGTCTCATCCTTCTGGGACTCTGGGACTCATGGGTCATGAGGGACAGGTTCTTGCTCAGCTGCAGCTGAAATGCAAGAAAGTCAGTGGGACTGCACAAGCACGTTTCAAGCCTCAGCTGTGACCTGTCTGCTAATATCTGCTGGCCAAAGTCTGTCACGTGGGTCAGAACAAGTCACCAGGCTGTGGCAGGGAGTGGAGGCAGAACACCCCTCACAGTAATGAAATCTCACTGCTCAAACTCCCGTCTACACACGCTTGTCTGCTGAACCTCCTTCTGACAAAGTGGAAAGGCTGAGGAAGGGCGTGCACGCCGGCGCAGTGTCAGGCTGTGGGAAGTCACAGATATGGGGGTTAAACGCAGATGGAACAGGGGCCTCCCAGCTTACCAGGTGCACAACCTGCAGGCCGTAGGATCCCAGCCTCCTCAATTTCAGCCCCGGACCAGAAAACAGTTCTTTGAAATCTGCCCCTCAGAGTTACTGTACATGGAACAGGAGATTGTAGGTGTAGAGCCTGATGTGAAACAGGCACTCAACAAAGGCCATCAGGAACTCAAATGTGGGTGTCAGAACCATTTTGTATCAAATGATTCTGAATTTTCCTCTTGAAAGAGAACAAAGGACGGGGAAAACCGAATCCACAAACCTGAGCAATACACATCAGGCTGAAATG